GTTACCAAAAATCACATGATTCTTCTCATTTGTGTGTATGTGTTATTCAACCTATAGCCCTAACCATCTGCAAAACAGATTTCAGTTGCTAGGGATTCATTTTAGCTAGTGCATGTCTCTTCAGAGAGGAAATCTTTAAAAATGTTAATAAAGATAATAATGAACTAAATTTGGCATGCCTAAAAGAATTAAATGCAGACATGTATCAAGATTCCCTCTAGCTTGGTACTTTGCACCAATGTGCCATCAAAAATGACTGAAAGACTTAGGAAGAGATGCTGTGATTATTTAATCTAAATTAAACACACTCTCTGCCTTTGGAATTCAAGATGTGCGAGTAAGCACGCTGCAGAAGGCTCATTTAGAAATTCTGCCTGGGGATAAAAATAACCTGGGAAGATTTGAAAATTTTCTAAAACCAACCCGCTGACACCAATCTTAATTCTGAAATATTGTTAAGGAAATTACCACTGATTAGCTGGAGGGAAGAGAAAAGATAATAAGAGTGCACTAATCACATTTCCAGCACAATGAAACCGAATCAAATGAAAGCAAGCTTTGGGGTCAAGGACTTCCTGATGCAGTGTCCCCTCCAGAGGAACTCCAGACTTTTTGGTGCAGAGCTGGAAATAAAGATCTGCCAGGAGTGGCAGCAATCAGGGCTGCAATCCTGAGCAGAGAGGGGAGGGGGCTGCAGGGGACACCCCTGGCAGGAGTGGGAAAGGTTAGAGGAACAGGCAGTAGAGAAGAAGAAGACTTCCATCTTCTTGCAAATAACCTGGGAAAAAAGGGGATGGGTGGGGAAAGGAAACATCTAAAGCCAGCAATAGGAAAATGGGATATTGGATATGAAGTGAGCAAACTCCCCTCCTTGTGAAAGAGGATCAAAATCAGAATCCTGCTTCCCTAATTCCCCTCTTGCCAAGATTGAAGGATAGTGGGAAAATGACTGAGTGAGCTTAACAGATGGGCTTGTACATCCCAGATTGCTTCAGGTTGCATTAATCTCTGCGGTGGGTTCTCATTTAGCTGAGAAAATGTCACCAAAACAAACGAACCGGAGCAGACTGAGACGTGACCAGCAGATGCAGAGGATCTCTTCTGCATGGTGTGGGTGCAGGCAGGCAGGCAGCATTCCCACTTGTCTGCTCCCTGCAGCCCCTCCAGACCTCACCAAAGACACCCCTGGCTGATGGGGAGCATAAATGCCCCAGATCAGCAGATGCTGCAACAGAGAAATCAGCAGGAGCTGGGAACGTGCGTGATGGCAGGGAAGGGAGGTGACACAGCAGAGGAGTCAAAGCAGTCAGGGGACAGGGACAGAGCAGTGCCCAAAATACAAAATAGACATAGTCAGGTGTTGGGAGAACTGCCTTGGAGATGAGCACAACTCATTTCTGTCCATAAACCCTCACATAATCCCTGCCTGCATGGGAAGTTCTTTTCAAGAACTTCTACTCTTGCATCCTCTCCAGGCTCCTGAACCAACACAGTCCTCTCAGGATATGAAAGAGCCAGGAAAGAAACATGACATTTCCTAGGCTTGTTGAGAGCACCCATGAGGGTGGAAACAAACCCCAAACCAGAAGAGAGGGGCAGCAAAGGAACCAACAGGGACTTGGTGCATTATTCCAAAACAAGCAGAGTAGAGACAATGCCATATAGCAGAGGACACAAAGTACCTCAGTTCAAAGTATGAAAGCAGACTTAGGATTTCCAAAAGCTCCTTTAACACTTCCGTAAAGTAAAGAGTGAATAAACTGAAGGTGAAAGGAAAGTGAGGAAAACTTCAGGTCACACAAACATAATTTCAAAAAATGTATGAATACAAAGCAAATACCATTTATATTTTCTTTAATTAGGCTGTCCTTGAATGTTATTCCCACACACTAATCATTACATCTGCTAGGACTATTTCCAGTTGCCAAAGAAACAGTGAAGGGAGCAGACAAACATTGTGGACATATGTTTGTTCCAGAAGCTCCTGCACTCAGCAGAACTGATTGAAACCACCTGTCCAGTGCCCCGAGTGCCACCCAGGCTCCTGCAAACCCAAATATAGCTCTGCTTCTCCTTTGGTGCACTCAGGGATCACCACCCCTGTCACACATGGGCTACTGACACCATTTAACAGAGCGGAACTGAAGGGGGACACCAGATTTTGAGGGTTCACAGCCCCTCTCTCATCAGGTCCTGCTGATGTTCCCCATCTCCCCATGTCCCCAGGGACAGAAGACCCCCACAGCTCCTGGATCCCAAAGCTCCAGCAGGCAGGAGCAGCACATTCGGATTCACCACACCACCCTCACTTGGAGACTGGCTGGATACTGCCTGACAATGCATTTTGCTTTAATGCATAAATTTGAAGCAATGTAATTTCCATTTATATGTGCACTCTGTTGGCCAGAGCAGTTTTCCTGTTTTTATCAAGCAGACAAAAGGTTTAAGCTCTATAAAAGGTGGCTGATATTTAAGTTTTAATAAAAATATATTTCAGGTGTGTCATTCTTTCCTTAGGCTGACCTAGTCTACAATATATTATTTACATAACTGCTGCAATATCTATTTCAAAACTGACTCGACAGCCCTCTCCAGAACTGTAAGCTGCCCTGCCTGTCACCATGATGGGTAAACACTGTCACCTTTTCACAGCCCGATGAAATATAGAGAAGTAGTAAAGTGCACCATCCATCACAATGGCACTAAGTAGGTTTTTGAAGTAGATTTCAGATCACAAATGCTCACATTTTTACTCACAAATGCTGTTTAGACTGTTACCAGAAAGCACAAATTGGATGGCTCATATACAATGGCCATATGATGAATGGACATGACAGGTGGTCAAAGAAAATGAGTCTTGCTGTTCTACAAATAACCTTGTCAACATCAAAGTGGAGCTGTAGCTCTGCTGGTAGCCAGACTGCAATAGCTTAATGGTTTTATTTGCTTCAACTTCTAGCAAACCAAACAGACAAATGAGATACAATGAAGCAGCAGCATCGAGGCAGTATTAGCAATTTTGCCTGATTAAGTGACACATAATAGGAATTTTCTGCTAAGGATGTTCCACATTTGAAAGAAAATTATTCAGGTTATGAGTAGCTGTTATAAAAATACCTGTTCACAGGAAAATCCTCATGATTTTGCAATCACAAACCACTGCAGGATATCCAAAATACACGACTTGTAGTTCTACTGCAAGCAATCAAGTCCCTTTCTGATGGCTGAGCCCAGCAACAGCCACCACCTGCTACTTCTCATTTAAAGTTTTTCTACTTCCATTAGTTTAAATAGTAGAGATTAGTGTACAGGACTGAAAGTCAGGAAGGTTAGCTCACTACCTACTTACCTGTAGCCTAAACAAATAGGAAAATTTCCCTTTTAGGCAAAAACTCTAGATCTAAGGACATTTCAGGGAGACTTCTTGAGGAACAGAAGAACACATCTCAAGTTTCATAAGGGTGCTGAGGTATCTCAGAGAACTGACTGTACAGCCATGCAGGGAGTCATTCTTTGGCTCCAGTGCAAGGCTGGAGTTTTGCCAGAGCCAAGGTCCAGCCCCTGTGATGAGGACGGTGTGTATGGTCCTCATTTCTGCTGAACTCGTAAGAGAAAACTGCCCTGGAACATAATGGAGAGTGGAACATGTGCTGCTGGGAATAACAGCAGCAGTTTTTCCCGGAACATTGGATTTCCTTCAATCTGATGAATCTGTTAGCACCACATTGACATTCATGAAATAAAACCTCAAAGGTCACAACCATTCCTCTCTCTGATTACAGTTACTCTTACTAAGTTACAATGAGAAAATAATATTAAATATGGAGTTTTTAAGTGATACGAGAAGGCAACCACATTCATTAGTACATGGAAAAGTTAAAGCATGTATCATGCAAAGTTAGGACCTCTTCTTGCCTAATTCATTTTGCTTCTCAGCAACAAATTTGAAGTGGACAGAGCCCCAGAACGAGGCTAACAAGACTCAGCATGGAGAGTAGGCATGTTTAAATATTAAGATGCTCACAATCTGTTCCCTTATAGTCTGTAAGTGCTCTAAGCCATGAACTAACATGTCTTAAACAGGACAGAAACCAAGATAGAAATCCCCCAGCATCAGTGGAGTAATATGATATTTTTAAAAGGAGGAAGACAACAATAATGCAATTAGCAGTGAAATTGCAATTTTTATATTTCAGAAATATTTTTTTTTAAGATTTACACTATCTCAGCTAGGAAAGTAAGCTCTCAAAAAAATTAGTCAGAAGCTAAAGAAAAACAGACAGTGAAGACAGTATACAGGAAAAAAACAAGATAATCCAAGATCTTATTTCACTTGGCAAGTAACAAATCCAAATAGGTAGAATCTTTTTTCTGACAAAACATCCTAGAGTAACTGCGGTAAGATAAAACTACAAATCGGTGTTTTCAAGAGGAAACAGAGCAGATGTGTCAACTGAATTGTCACACAAGAAACTATGTGAGATCCACAGCCATAATTCAGAGGCTCCAGGTATTAGCCCAGCACTCCCACCAGCCTCATCCTATCCTTCCTACAAGCATCCCTCAAACCAGTAGTACTCATACATGAGCAAGGACAAAGTTAAACTCTAGACACAGCTTCCACATTTTTTACAGACAAGCAAAATGTGCCAATTCATAAACACAGATACTTAACAAAAAATTACAGACATTATGTAATGAGACTCATATAGATATATGTGAGTGTATATCTATATCTATCTCCTATGAAGTATTCATATATATTAGGTTGAAAGGTTAATTAAGATAAGTACAATTGGCCACATCATAATTCACATAAACGTGCTTATTTTAAGGCTGGGCATCTCAGCATATTTTCAATGGGATTTGATGATCTTAGAGGTCTTTTCCTACCTAAATAATCCTGTGATTCTATGTGTAATTTTCCAGTCAGGTTCAGCAAAAAGCTGCTATTTCCCAACTATTCCACCACAAGTGACAGAGACAAATGGCCACGTTACCTCAAGAGTTCCTTTGGCAGAATAAGCTGCATATGAGTACAGGAGGTCTTGGCTGCCAAGTGTTTTGGGGTCTCTGCTGCAGCGTTGTCCACTTGGATAAAAGCATTCCCCGCTGTCTTGCAGAGTTACTGTGTTTGAAGAAGGGCCTGGCAGGTCAAGCAGAACGGAGTAATTCACCAGCCGGACATCTTCCAGGCCTTGGGAACGCCACTGACCCAGGATTTGCATTGCAAGCTCTGCATCATCTTCTCTGGGGAACTCTAACAAATCTCTGGGAAAAAAAAAAAAAAAAAACACAAGTAAACACAGGTTTAGCTTACTTCCCATCAGGACGTTTATACCTTAGTATGCATCGGTGCATGGCTCTATTAAAAACCTATCATCAAATATGCAAAAAAAACCATACAACTTTCATTTTTTGCAAATATTTTCTTACCAAGTATGAGACAAAAGGCAACTGCTTTTAAGGAAATAAAAATAAGAAAAAAAAAATGTATGTCTAGGAAACATATCCAAATTAAATAAAGAATCCTACAGAAATATCACAATAACTGTTTCAAAATTTTCACATCATTTGCTTATCGAATTTCTAAAATAGCATAATTTAATCAATCTTTAAACATGAAGAAGCCAATCTGAAGTAACATCTCAAAGATGTCAGGGAGGGCGTGATCCTGGAAATTAGTTAAAATTATATAGTTATAATCACACGTTTGGCTTAAATTCATAAAGGAAAGCAAATTTACTAAACAGAATGGAACTGCTCCCCCAAATGATGCACTCACTGGTCAGGAAGTTCTTCACATTTCCTATCTGCACTGAAGGATGACCTGAGCTACCAGCTTGGCCAGCATAAAAGGCAAAATGGGAATTATTTTGGCAGTATCTACTGATGGGCCAGTGAGAACTCAGGCTGGTCTGGGCTTGCATCACTTTCAATGTTGGCTGGCACAGGGAAGGACGAAGGGACCAAAGGACCACCCTCCTCCCCAGCACCTGCCAAAGGATTCCAGATGTTGGAACTATTGCCATGACAACTCCAGAGGATGGGCTTGCTGAAGAAGCAACTGAAGGCTTCCCCTGCTTATGCAGGCAAGCAGTCACGTGAGCAAAGAAGGACAGAAATAAAATTTGTTACTCAAATAAAAAGCACTAACCACGTGCAGCATAAAAAGCTTATGGAATATTTGCTGAATTCTATGAAGTTGGGATTTTTTGGGGGTTTTTTGTGTGTCTATGAAGCTCTCAGGACTGAAAAGAAAATTAAGGATTGCAGATTTATTATTTCCAAGCACAGAGATACTGAAAGTCTTGGCCACAACCTCCTATTCACAAAAAGGCCACTAAACCTAACTGCTTTAAGGTCCTCAACAGAACTTCAAAAAACACCCTGGTTGTCTTGCACATATCAAAAATAAATAGTTGAATAATGTATAGCATTTTTAAGCATGCAATATGAACCTGAGTATCCCACCAGGTACCCCTGCAATATCCAAAACCAGCTGCAGTGCTGCAGGTGGGAAGCTCCTGGCTGAAGGTTCTGGCACTACTTCCAGAAGGATCTGCAGTGCCCCCAGGAGAGCCTCAGCAAGCAAAGCTTCTGATGCAAGTCAAGCACAAGGGCTCCCTTCTCCACCCATCTTGTGGTTGAACGTTTGAAAGATGAACATTTACTGCCTAGACAACATCAAGGCCTTAAAAGGACAGAAAGTAAAATTATAACACCCTTTACACCAAGAAATGGCTCAAAAATAACATACTCCATTGAATGCCTAATTGCCATCATCACATTACATGGGCAGAATGATTATTCCAACATGCAAAACTTTTTTAGAACAAATGTATTTTGTATAAATGTGTTTTTTATAAAATACACTTGTTCAAAGCAATATGTTGTATCCCAGGCTGCATTGCTCCCATGAGGCTGTTCACACACAAAGTTGAAAATCTTTACAACACTGGCCTTATGTTGGGACTTCAGGAATCCTGTCAGGAACAATAACTGTCTTGCAGATTTAATGTTTTTAAATTATCTAAAATAAGTCTTCAAGCAGTCTACACCACACAGATGACTTAATCCAATCTGCAGTATATTACAAGTTTCCAATTTCATCTCCTGTGCCTGCTAATGTAATGACATAAACTTGGGTAGTGCAGAAATACAGAAAGTTGTTTGATTAACACAATCATTAATGGAATATCTGCATTTCCCTCAGGTGATAGAAACATTAATAGAATAAATAATTAAAGGAACTTATCCCAGGCCAATAGGGTTATGGCACATTGTAACCAGAAGTATTCAGTCATAATAAAAGGAATTAAGCATTGAAAGAGGAAGATACAATAAGATACAATAAGGAAGACACAATTTGCTTATTATCCTTACTAATAGAAGTTATTTTCCACTTCATAATTAAATCAACATGTCTTTGAAACTTTTGTGACAACATATCTGATTAAGTTACAGAAATGATCCCACTCACTATTTACTCCATGTCCTTATAGCATGTTAAAATCAAATTGCAATACAAGCATACATTATTTTACAATAAATCAGCACATATTAGACTACTTTGATAAATCTTATGAACACCACCTGAAAGATTTTTTTTTCCAGACTTATTACAACAGCTGACTTGCATTTGCCTTTGATGCTGACTGCATGAACTTAAAGTCAGAGGTAATTGAACTCATTATTGTGTTCACATACTAATTGCATAACAAGTAAAATATGCAAAACCAGTATTTCCTAAACCCAGTCAAAATTAGAAAATTGTCAAATTTGGCAGTACAGCCTGGAAGAATATCAACAATTCACAGTCCTTATTTTCAAATGCTCTAATTATTTATTTCCTAGAACTGGCAGGGCTCAGAGACTCCCAGCAGTAGGATTTCAGCAGTGGGGAGGAGCAGTCCCTTGGGGTGAGGATGTTCTCAGTTCCCCAAGCAGCTGCACGCTCAGAAGGAACCAATACCAATGCAATTGCCAATTTCCATTTACAGCCCTGCCTCCGATAACTTCAGCCAAATTTTTGACTCCCACTGGTCACATTAAAAATAAACTATTCAGGCATTTTTTTAAGGTTCATGAGAATAACCACAAAGTTTATGGGCATATCTCTGTTGCTGTAAATTTACATAATCCAGTGAAGTGGAGCCACCATAGGCTGAAGATTTGGTCTCAAGTAAGAATCAACACTAATAAATGTAAAAATGCCAGTCTGAACATTCCTGTACCTTTATAGGATGCTCTCAGAGATTTGCATACATTCCTGATCTTTTCTAATACAGATCAGTATGGAACTAATGTACATCAGAACAGGACATAAACTCTTGAGCATTCTCCTCCATCTCAAAAGGCTCAGTTTCTGAACTCAGAAAAAAACAAGGTAAAATTGCACTTAAGACCCAGAAAGTTCACCCTACTTCACTTAAATAAAGTAGAGATTTTTGATGTGATGAAAGATCACCACTGCAGAAGATTCAAATTCCTAAACCTATAAGAATTTTAAAGATGTTGAAAATTTATTTGTAAAAAAGCCAGGAGTTCTGCAGCCTCTGCAGCATCAAAATGCTATTCTTCACCAGATGATTATAAAAGATAAATGAACACACACACAAAATATACAAATTTCATTTTGAATTTGGTAACCATGGGGAACACAGACCTGCAGTGCCTTGATGGAAAGCCATTTGCTACAAGAGCACTTTTTGACACAGTTTGCCAAAGGAGAGAACAAGGTATTGCAAATAAGCCAGCTGGGACACTGAAACACCACTCAACAGATACTGAAAAATTACAACAGGTCACTCTAACAACCAAGGGATGGAATAATTTAACTGTATAACACAATTACTTCTCAGATAATCCTGTTAAATTGCTATAAAACCCCATGAAAAAAAAATTGGAATTGCAGAATGATTCTACAGATTCAATCGGAAAAATCTACAGGGACAAAAATTCCCCGCAAATACGTAAAACTTCAAGTGTGGTTGGTTTGGTTAGTTTTTTTCTGTTCAAATTTACCACCTCTACTGAGTATTGGGAACTGGCCTACACTTCCTAGCCTAGTAAGAAAAAATAAGCTGAATTCCACTTTTGCAGAGCTAGATATTTAAGTGCCTTATTCCTATATTTTTATAGTAAATATCTACTGTTTTCTTCCAGTTCACCGAAATTGTTCATAAAGCAACTACTGTAATTTTAGATAGGAGCTAACAACAAATGCCATTTTGGAACTTTTTCAGATTGATTTTCAGCTGAGTAGCTGCTCTCAGATCCTGTGAGTTGCAATGACTGCTCATATTTGGTAAAGCTGCATCAGATCAAAGTGCTCTCTTGTCCAACACGATGCTCCGACAGTAACTAGCAGCAGATAATCACAAAAGAATGCAGGAAATGCATCACATGGGGTTATTACATTTATAGCCTCTCATGCAAATATCATTTTTTTAAAACCTCAAATTTGTCCAGGCTGAGTTTTTAAGATGTTTTCATATGTTGAGGATTTCAAAGCTCGTTTCAGTCCATTAAGAGCTGTGGTACCCGCACACACCAACTGCTCAGCAGATGCACCAGCATTTCCCACACTTGCAGAAAGAGGAGTTATTTGTGTCCATCACACGCAGTGTGCACACACAGGAAATGCTCAGGAAATACCACCTGCCCAAGCCACATCTGCTTCAATTTTAATTACATGTTCCTGTTAATTAGGGCACTCCACTGGGCTGGTCTCCAACCTGCCCGGTTGGATTTCCCATGGTCTGAACTGATGGCCACAAATTTGCTGCTCCCAAAATACAGAAATTAATGAATTCAGGTCCAAGAGAGGATAAATATTTATCAAGAGGTGAGAGAAACATGTTCATGGTGCAAAGAGGTGCACACAGGATCCTGAAGCACCTCAGGTTCTTCAGGTTACATTGCAAGGTCACCAGCATCTGCTGCAGAAAGCTGATTTATGAAATGTCCTCTGCCACATCTACCATCAGTCTTCACACATTCTGGATACTCGGCATATTTCTAACAATAATAATAATAATAATAATAATAATAATAATAATAATAACGATTAACCTCTGCTCATTCTTGGGTAACAGCTTACTGCTTTTGCTATCTAAAGGAATATTTACAGAGCTGCACCAAAAATTTTACATATTTTACAATATGAATTTTAACAAGCTTAACATAAAGAAGTACAATTCATGCTTTTAACAAAAAAGACTGTGATTTATGGCAGCTTTTACTTCTCACAGACACAGAATAAATTC